GGGAGAGGTGGGGTTTGTTGAAGAAGGTCATCCTGAACAGTTAAGATAGCTACCATGACACCATGCAGGTGGGGCTTGCCACAGGTGGGCATTCCGACCAGTGAAGGTTAGCTGTCATGGCGCCGTGGAGGAGGTTCTCATCAGGGTGGCAGATGAAATTGGTATGAATTTGATGGGATGGACATGGGTGGAAACCGTGGAAATGCAGCCCCTTGTGGGGACAGCTACCGTGGTTCGATGAGCGGAGTCCTTGCCGGGGCCATCAAATGCGGTGGGATGCATATGGTTGGAATTGCAGTGCAAGTTCATGTGTGCCGTACTCACCAGGAAGCTGTCGTCAGCTTTTAGCAACCAGGGTGTGAATGGCTAGGAGGGAGAGCGAAATGCTATGGGGGCATGGAGCATCCAAAGAGGTGAAATGCACTTCATTGAAAGGACCCCAAAATGGAAGGAGCGGAATGGAGGGAGGGAAGGTCTATGAGAGATTTGTGTACATGGGATGTTGCTTCTATGATGTCTATGTCAGTCCTATTGTCAGTACAGGGCTGCATTTTGCAAACATTTGCTTAAATCATACAGAACAGAAATGGATATTGTCAGACCAATCTTTGTACGAGGGAGGAACAAACAGCAACAGAAATTAAGAACAACAAGAAAGAATATGCCACGAAGCTCGCCTTCGGGTCCTCCTGTTACGGGTGTAGTACGGCTGCAGGAGGGAACGATACACATACAGGCGTTCGCAAGGTGCATAGTGGAAGTGAAAAGAGTAGACGGAGACGGAATGACCGTGCCTCAATCTAGATGGTCAAGCCAAGGAAAGAACTTGCTCACTCACAGTGGCAAGTGTCTGATTTATGAGACCCAGAGCTGGGTTGCCCCTTCGTCGTTCTACAGTGACATCTGTTTGATAGGCAACTATTCGGGAATATCATTTGCAATTGCGTATGCACGTGTGCATGTGTGCATGCGTGCATGTGTGCGGGTGTGGGTGTTGGACCACAAATGGATAGATGGATAGGTAGGTAGGTAGGTAAGTAGATAGGTTGATAGATAACTTAGAGAGATAGAGATAGATAGGTAGGTAGGTGGGTAGGTAGGTACATATGGGAGAGAGAGAGAGAGAGAGAGAGAGAGAGAGAGAGAGAGAGAGAGAGAGAGAGAGAGAGAGAGAGAGAGAGAGAGAGAGAGA